TGATTAAAGCAAGGTTCCCTGTAGAAAACATAATTCGTAAAAATTAAAAATAATGAAATCGGTAACGCCGCGACATGCCGTAAATAATAGTCCGGTTTTCCTATACTTTATTCCGGATTTTCACAACTATTTTGTAAACCCCTTAAAAGATCAAAAAAATGATCTGTTCAATGCAACAACTAGATTTAATATGCAACAAAGAAGGATTCTTGTAATTTTTTTAAATGGTGCAAGGTGGATAAAATACTCACAGACACAAACAAAAAAAAAAAAAAACCAAAACATATCATAATATGACGTAAATGGTATTTGTTCTTATATTAAAACAAACCAATCTCTATGATAGAAAAATGTATACATTATTGCAGCGTGGCTGCTTACAATATTATTGATCTAATAATATTATCAATATAATTACGATTACATAATATTTTTAATTACGAGTACGTTGATAAGTGATTATTTCAGAAAAACAGTGAATAGTAGTCGGAGAAATAAAAATTGAATAAAATAATGACGAAAAAAGAAAAGAACGGTTCGAAAAGCGTCTATTAAATACAACATTATCGCATGGTTAATAATGATCTGTTTCCGGATGACCGCTTTTTATCGCGAAGGTTAAGTTTTTATCAGCTGGATTGGGAAAATAATCATTTGCGTTCGTATGTTCACACGAATCGATTTTAATTATATTAATGTACATTATCGTTAGAATTAATTGATCTGTACACGTGTAGAGGTTATAGGTTAAGCCTATCTAGTGATTTAAAAGAAGAATATTGTTCTCGGGGTACAAAGAATATCCTCACACATTTAAAATTATTTTTTTTATTTTCACCGGAAAGCGATAACACAATCATTCTGTTTAAAATATATAATGCAGTATGTTTTTATTTTAAATTTAAACAACTACCTATATTATTTTACTATAGCTGATTCGCTCAGCTTCACCCGAGTTATCTAATACATTTTCTATGAAACATAAATGAGTACAAGATATTTTATAATTTAATATTATAAAGAGATTTTATTGAAAATTATGAGAATTTTGAGTTAACGTAGAAAAAACATTTAAAACAGTTACTGATAGTAGTTTTATGAAATATTATAATACTTATTAGTGTCTATAATACTTTTTGGTAAAGGTAAATTATTCATTTTTAATTATATGCATAAATATATAAATTATTTTCCGAGCTAACTCGAGAATATGCGACATAAATAGGCCAGGAATGTAGCAGAAGTCAGATTAATATTGTCGATGCCTGTTTTGTTTCGTTTTAAATTGAGCTCTATAGTTGCCGATTATTATAAAAAACCTGTCCTAGGATAATGGGGATGGGTGCAGCGACTGTTGTCGATGAGAATTTGAGAAGGTAGGATACAAATGAGAAATTAATTATATCTGTAAACAACGATTAATCATCGTTAACTAAAAAATGATTCTGAGCGGAGTTCAGTTGATGGTGTTGCTTTACCAAAAAAATATATAGATATATGTCATATTAGGGTAAAATAATTACGTATGCGTTTTATATTTTCTTTAATAATATTTTTTTAGTATTGTACCTAGTTTTCCGTTCTTCCGGTTTTCACATATTTTATCCCGGTTTTTCCTATTTATTGAAAGATCAAAAAAATGATCTCATTAAAGTACATCTTTAGTCCGATTTCCTTTCGGAAAAAATGCTATCATTGTAAATCGGAGTGAAATTGCTGGTATAAAAGTTGTCCCCAAAAAATTAAATAAATATTTTAAGCCAATACATTCCTCTCTCCACTCAGAAACATAGGCGTGCGCAGATTTTTTTCACAGGGGAAAAAACTACGAAAATCGTTAACATAAAATGCCTATGTAAATACCACAAAAATATTTTTAGAATATTTTAAAATTTTGATCACTTCTAAAAAAAAAAACCTAGGAATATTTTTAACTGAATGAGGATTGTCAGAATAACATTTTTTTTGAAAAAATAGATTTTTTTTTATTATTGTAAACTTAGGATTTTTTAAAAATTGATCTAGTTTAAAAAGATTAGTTTTGGAGCGTATTCAAATGTGTCTTACCAAACATCAGGTATAGTAAGGTACTGCGATAAGGTGCGACTTCAGTCACAGTGGTAACCCACTAAACCAGAAAACGGGTAAGACACATTTCATACGATTCCCGTCAATACCGATCGTTTTGAACATTTTTCAATTTATTGATTTTTTAAACTCAAATTGTCAGAATAAAAAATTAATTTAATTTCTGAGGTTACCGTGTTCATGAAAATAATATTCGTGGATTTAATCAAACATTTTTTTTATTGACAACCCTCATAACAAAAAAAAAAAAAACAAAAAATTAATAATATATTTCGTAAATTTATTCGTTTTTCATACGGTTTTTCATGTTTTTTTTTCCAATGGTTATGAAAACCGTTTGGATTATCTAAAAATGACTTTTTTTAAAATACCACCCATGTAAAATTTCTTCTAGAAAAGGTGCTACACTTGAAAATCGGATTACAACTTCTGGTAGAAAAGTTATTTACAAATAAAAAAAAAAATTATAATAATTGTAATAATTGACATCATAACAACATTGTAAAACCAATTTTTGTAATTAAAAATTGTTACTAAGTAATAGGCATATTATTTATATATATAAAAAACTATGTACCTACCTTATCTTTTTTATTACTAAATGATTATTTTATTTTGCATTATACATTTCTTAGCCCACAGCAATTATTATAAATATAACATATACTCGTACAGTATACGCTACGTTTAATTAGGTTATTACCTACTACTTATAAAATGTATTTTGTGTTATAATTGAATTATATGTTTAATCCTTATACTATAATATGTTGACTCTAAATCATTTCTATCGTCACAAAGTTTACCTTAGTGATAGGCGAAACAGTATTAAAAAAAATAATAACTTCCGAAATTATTTTCAAAAAAAACATATTAATTTTGGAGGTTTTTCAAACTAAATATCGACTGGCTAAACAATCTAGAAAACTCGGGTTTCATGGCAAATCCATATATACTTTTATAAAAATTGTTCAGTTTAATGAAAGACATAAAGGTATTACCATTGTAAATTGAAGTATAAACACATAGATACAAATTAAAAAAGGGCAGATATACTTCGCACGTGGGTGCAGCCACTATTGTAGGTGTTAAGTTGGAAAGATAGGGAAGATAGGATACAGAATTTAATTTATATCTGTAAACAACGATAAACTATTCCAAACGAAAAAACGATTCTAAGTGGAGTTCAGTTGATTATGTTGCTTTGTCAATAATATATATGTCATATTATGGTAAAATTATTACAACAATGTGCATTTCCATGACAACAATGATTGTTTAACAAATATTAAAATAATTCAAATTTAATAGTAATCAAAAATAAATAAAAACTGTTTCCAATAACTATCTTATTTTTAACCTTTCAATCATTTTTAACCTAAAGACCGAGGTTTTCCTCATTATCTCGAATATTAATGAGAATTTCAAAAAATGACCTCTCTGAAGTACCACCCAGAGAATATGCCCTTTCAGAAAATGTGCTATACTTGATAATAGGAGTATACTTTCTAATTCAAAAATTGTTCACATAAAAAAAAAAATAAACATCATTGTAAAACCAATATTTTCCTTACTCTACTCAGAATCTAAAAAATGTTAAATATACCTACTGTAAACTCTATTACTGATAAATAAATAAATCATTGTTACAAAAAAAAATTACATTCTTCTCTTCACTCACAATCTAAAATTTAAAATAATGAAATCGTAACGCCGTTAATTTGTCAGTTTTCATTTTCGTCTTTTCTGCTTTTTTCCTAATTATTACGAAAAATATTTAGAAAATTAAAAAGCGAATTACTTATTCACAAACAAGAATAAAAATGCAACAATAATGGTATCTTGTCGTTTATCTATCGAGTAATAATTTTGGCAGAGAACATGAACCGTACGAATTAAAATAATAATATCATATTAACGCCATAAATTTATAATTAAACGGGGTTAACGGCGTGGCGTGTCGTAAATTTTGCCATTTTTCCTATAATTTTTTTTACTGGTTTTTCCCAATTGTTTTGAAAACCTCTTGGATAAATGATATATGGAGCAAGATTTCTGGTATAAATAAGTTGCTCACAGACAAAAAAAAAAAAACCTTAACAATTTGAGAATAAATAACCCGAAAAATTGTAATTTATTTTTTTGTTAAGTATACAAATAAGTATAATTTTCAGCTCATTCAGGTTCTCATAACACGATTAATCGAACATACAAAGCCTTAAAAAAACGCGTTTTTAAATCGAAATCGTTTTTTCATTTTATAAAATAAACCAATCTTAAAGCTTTTGGAACTAACAAAGAACTAATAAAGAGTATCGCCACGATCAAATTTCAATTATTTTCTTTTTAATTTAGTTGAGCCTGTAATGCTATGGCCGGTAAAGCACGAAGAAAAAGTTACCGAGAAAAACACGTTTACTATGTAATTCGTTTCAACCTTCTAATTTTTTTTCGTTTTCTCGGCGGGATTTCGTCTAGACAGGATTTTTCCGGCGTGATTCTTGTCCTAGATTCCCCTCAGACCATGCCGATGTGGGTCGCGCTGAATCTATATTTGGGATGTGGCAATGCGGCCGCATATCGGGATTTCGTCGGTTTATTATTATTGTTTTTTCTTTCTTTTGCTCGGCCGTTCCGAAATATTTATGTTTATCGCTCGTGAAATACCGATACCATCACGATATTTGTTTACGTTGCTGTCGCCGCGGGCCGCGCAATCCACCCGATCGCATGCCGGGCCTACTGCACGTCAATCGGGTCGAAATCGTAAAACGCGAACGCACAACAAAAACGGAAATAAAAATAGAAATAGAAATAGACGGCAGTATTGTGGCAGTGGCACGCCATTTGGGACAAATCGCCGGACCTCGTGCAACGTAACCGGTACCCCGCGGTATTTCGCACACGGATTTCGATCGGCGCGTATCCCAGCGGACGATGGCCGCCACGGACATGTTCGTCGTTTTGTTGTTGGTCGTCGCGCTGCTGTCAACCGCGCGGCAGACAGGTGTCCGTCCGGCCGACGTCCGTGACCGAACGCAGAACGTCTCGTTGTCGGACGCTTTTCCGGCGGACAACGGCACGGCGTCGTCGGACGCCGCCATAGACGTGCAGTACACCTCGTGCAAAGTCATCACCGACCGTATCGTCGCCACGGCCGAGGGAAAGTTTTCGCGCTTTTGTCGCGGCATTTGCAACATAAGTATACGCACTTGTATAATATTATTATTATAGGTAGTCCAGTAGTGTATTGGAGGGTGTACCTGGGATTCATATTTTTGGATTTATGCGTATACCTATCAGGAAGTTCGTTGATTATTGGTGTACGCCAACTAAAAATATGTGTAATATTAAAGGTATACGTGAGGTTTTTAATTAACCATAAAACTGTAAAAAAAAAAAAATCAAGGCGTACATATTTTGCACGATAGGTGGGCCACTGTTGTAGGTGAGAAGTTGGGAAGCTAGAATATAAAGGGGAATTTAATATATATCCGTAATGGTTAATTATTGCTATCGAATAATTATTCTGACCGGATTTCTATTATATACGTGTTTTAAAAAGCCATAATATTTACGATTTTCGTCAAAATTTGATACTGAAATTCATATAAAACAAATTTTTATTACATTTAATTTTTTTTTTTTTTTTTGGTCCAAGAGTACGACTTATATTGAACCTTCTGTTAAATTTTCATGCATTTCTGTTTGGGCTAACCATTTTAGAGTATCTACCTGTAAATACACATTGCGTAGAAATTCGCAAAATTAAAATGTCTATAAATAGCAGAAAAATGGTTAAAATGTTTAGACAATTTTACCACGTCTATAAAGAAAAATATAGGTTTTGTCCAAATTTCAAGTTTATATAAGCGTTTTTAAATGAATCGCAATAAAAAACCAAATTAAAAATAATGGATTTCGTAAATTTTTCCGTTTTTCTACCTTTTATTCCGGTTTTCACAACTATTTTGAAAACTGTTCAAAAAATCAAAGAAATAACTTGAATAAAGTACTGCTAAGATAAAGTTTCCTTTCAAAAAAGGTACTACACATAAAAATCGTGTAAGAATTCTAGTAGAAAACTATTGTACAGACAATAAAATAAACATCATTGTTAAACCAATACATTCTTCGTTCTTTTAGGATCTAACATAATTAACAATTTTTATTTTATTATATAGGTAGTCAGTCCCAAAATAGAACAGATCAATAGTCAAACTAGTCAAAATAGTCAAGTTTAAAATGTAGATCTTCATAGCGGATTTCCCACTGAACCTTAATTTACACCGTTTATCTAGTTCGATAGAATATTATTAAAATGTAATTTTGGTTTAAATTTCAAAAAAAAAATTCATAATTATATAATTATACATACCATTTGTTAGAAACTAAGAAAATTGATTACAAAACTATTATAAAATAAATTACCAATATAAAATTTCACCACATTTAGGTGTGTATACCCATACATTTATTTACCGATACATGCGTTTTATTAGTAATCCAAAACACTCCCCTTATGTAAACTTAAAAGGGGAATATCTCATTAACGGATTGACGAAAATCAAAAAATGTTGATACCGAAATTTTTTTAAAGCAATACTCCATCTATTTATGGAATTTTTTTATATAGGTTCTGGTTTGAAAAACCAAAGTTGTTATAAAATCAATACATTTCTCACTGCGCTCCGAATCTAAATGTATACATATACGTATATTAACTAGAATCAAGAATGCACGAATTTTAACGATTTTAACTATCGGTAAAAAAAACTATTCTTCTAGATACGGCTTTGTCCAGTGGCGTGGCCATCGGGCAGGCCTGGTAGGCCCGTGCCTACCCCATTTTCTCCGAAAATCAACACAATTTTAAAATCTAAAATTTATATTGGTATTCTTTCCCATTCAAACATTTATATTATTTTATCTGCAGGCTTACCCAGGAAAACATTTCTAGCTACGCAATCTGTGCAAAATTACCTGTAACGTTTTAAGCGCAAAAACTCTTATTTACAATGTAGATTTTTATTGGCCCCTAACCGATTATCGATTTGACGGTTTTTTGAGTTTACGATATTTTTACTGACAAATTGAATTTCAGCCGAGACCAACGCAAAACTACACCGGATCGAGACTTTGTTGACGGCAGACGCGGAACACATGAAAAGTCGACTGTACAATTTGGAACGGACGTTATTCGACGGCAACAACGTGATAAGGCGTTCGGATATACAGTGAGCATATTATTATTAGAATATTAATTATTATAAACAATTCGATTTCCGACCGTATACCTGCGAATTAATAATCGAACATAATTTATTCGTTATTTTCCCCTTATTATTTTATAGTGAGAGCGGCGGCGGCGGTGGCCAGCAGCCGTTATTGGCGGCCGGTGATACGGGCAGACTCCGGGAGATCGGCACGTACAACGGTACGGTGTTCGCGGCAACGGACGGCGGCGGACGACCGGTGGGACGCGCGACATCGTCTGCGTTCGTCTACTACTGGCGCGTGGACGCTTTCTGGCGGCTCACGTTCGCGGACGGTGGCAGCGGCGGCCGCGCCCGCAGTCCGCCGTTTTACGTGTCGCCTCGCAGCTATCGGATCGCGCTGACTGTACACTCGGACCCGGCGGCCGGCACCGTCCGCGTGGCCGCCGTAAACGCCGCCGGCGAGTACGACGCCGGGCTCCGGTGGCCGTTCGCACACCGCATCCGGCTCAGCGTGCTCGACCAAACGGACGTCGGGCCCGAGGACATCGTGTCCCGCGTCTGGGACGACGTCCGGTGCGGCGTCCCCGCATCGACACCGCCCGCTGCCCCGAATCAACTGCGTCTCGACGACGTATGCGCCTCGATGGAGTTCCGGCACGGCGTGCTCACGCACAGGCGTTACGCTGCCGGCGACGCTCTGCTCGTCAAACTAACCGTGTTCTTGCAGTAGCCCACCGCCTAAGAGTGGCGATTCGGTAGCATTTTCAAACTCGTTTTGTTTGTCGCGCCCATGCTAAAATTCCTTCGCCATTTCCGTACGCTTATACAGTATACTGTACATATCTAAACGTCATACACTCCAGTTTTAATTATTTTGTTTTTAACATTAAATTTCGCTGACACCAATGTCCCATCGTTTTATTACCCGCGTATAGGTTTCAATATAATTATTGTCAGTTGATGTTATTCGAAATTCTTATATCGAGAAACATATTATATTTTCAACAATCCGCACGCATAGATTATAGTATAGGTTGCGCATTAGTATATTCAACCGATCGACAATTGGTGAGTGGGTATCTGGTAAAAATATCACTTTTTACACCTTTTTGTAACACCGATATTTCACCGACATCCAACAACGATCGCTGTTCTATAACAAAACGACTGTACACGATTACTGAATTTCCAGTTCGTTATACAAAGCTCGATAATCGTTTTATAAAGAAATATTGACTTTCGGTCGGTTTCTTGTGCCTACGTACGAAAAATTAATTTGTGTAACACATGAAATGTTAGTAAATTTTTTTCTTTTTCATTATCATAAGCCTCGCATTGCCGATTTTAGTTACTAATATGGATCGCAATGTGACATTATAAAATGTGTATTGTATTATTATATTATAATGTATAAACGTTTTTTTTTTTTTCTGTGTTTGGTTCTTTTTTTCCTACATAAGTAATATGTTATTCGTCTAATCTATTGATTTATCATTATTGTATTAAATCCGTACTATAATATTATGCAACGAGTAAACGCGAATACGATCTTAAAACGTCTTTTCATTGGCGTTTTCGTGGAAGAGGCTTTGGGGGAGGGGACATGCCGCCTCTCCTGGTTTTCGCGTAATTAGACGTAAGGCATATTAACGGTTAAACGAGGTGACACGATTGAAAATATTACATTGCAGCGTCCAGACGCATTATCACTAGGTTGTGCATTTTACATGTGTTTTCCGCGTCAACGTAGCGCGTCGGTAGCCGCGTCGTAGTGCGTCCGGACGTTTTGCGTCTACACATTAAAAAAAAGTCGAAATAATTTGTGTTTTCTTCAACCGAGGATGAAATATTTATTTTATTTTATCAATTGGATAGTATTTCAAAAACTGTATCGCCGTTTTTGTATTTATACTTATATGCGAATTTACAATTTTAAATTAGTAGTCACGCAATTATAAAAATATTTCGTCAAACCCCGATAACCTTCGGCTTTTCACAAATAATATTATCATTATTTAAAATTAATTGTCGTCGCATCACGATGAAGATATTTGCAAAATAAATAAAAAAACTACGTGTGTATTAGATCACAGTTGTGCAAGCACTAGAATTTCAGTGAACGTTGTTTGGTCGAAAAAAAAAACAAAAACGACTGCATCAAGACGCATGCAGAGAAAACGTATTATAGTAGCTATTTTAAACTAATTTTAGACCTCCTCCCTCCTCTTAAATTAGTTTCAGATCTGCAACTACCTCCAAACCCTGGATTTTGGAAGATGGACAGCGTGCTTGTCCAGAGACCGAGTGCCGGTCTCATAATATTATAGAATTACGTGGAACGGCTAGCAAACTACGAACTCGGCATCACAAAATTTGGTACATCGAGTAATTATTTTAGATTCTGAGTATACCGAGTAATGTATTAGTTCTGCTATTGTGTGTATGTTTTTTTTTTATTTTGGTTTTATTTTTCTGTGAATAACCTTTCTACCATAAATCGTATTCCAAGAACAAATAATAAGAGACCTTTTTTGTTGCATTTTAAATCAAGTTGGTGCACGGGTCCGTCATTTTTTGATACTCCAAGTAGTTTACTTAATAATCGGAAATAAGCGTAGGGAAATCCGATTTTCAATCATAGCACTTTTCCTGAAAGGAAATCTGACTGGGGTGGTACTTTAGGAAGGTCATTTTTCTATTTTTTCAGGAGTTTTCTCGATAAATTGGAAAAACCGAAGAAAACACAGGAAAACCGAAAACGGGAAAATAGTTACAATATTAAATACATATTATTAAATAATATGTTTAATGCATATGTACCAAAATTTACCAAAATATAACATAAATATTGTCGACAAAGCAACATTATCAACCGAACATCGTTCAGGATCGTTTTTTCGTTTGCAATGATTAACCGTTGCTTACATATATACAATAAATTCCCGTCTATATCCTACCTTCCTAACTTTCCACACTTACAACAGTACAACCCGTCCCCATTATTCTAGGACAGGGTTTTTTTTTATTAATTCGTTAAAAATATTCGTAGAGAGCTGAAATTTTCATACTCATATTGGACTTTTACAGATGTGGTACAATTTTCAAAACATCCTGTCGATTTTCGAGCTATTTATTATTTTCGAGTTTTTTAAAAAAAATGTATTTATCTATTTATTTAAATTATTAATTAAATTAATTTATAATTAAATTTATCTATTTGATCGTCACGTGTGTATCGTTTATACCTGTGTTACGTATGTGACTGAACGGTTATTCGCGTTATTATTACCCGCGTGGCGGTTTCTGCCCGGATGTGCATACAGTATAGTCAACGTGTAAAACGTTTTCGAGGTATGACACTATAAACTTGTCTCATTGAAAATCACTTGTTGATATTTTATACGTGCGAAGAAGAGTTTATCAGAGGGATGGGTGGGGTGGTAGGTGGGTTAGTCGTACTAACGCACAGTGTCGCGTTACGTGGCGTATTTTCGATAACACCGGTCACGTGTGTATGTATACCGAAGTTTATTATGATCTAAACAATTTGCGACTGGTACCTTTTATAAACAATGCGTAGGCGGAAATTCGACACAATTTTTTTTTGGGGGGGGGGGTCGGGGGCTAGATCAATGCTTATGTGTATTATATAAATTGACACAATAATTAAAATAAATTATGAATTTTACGGGGAAGGGCGACGGAAGGATTTAGGGGGATGATAAGATCCCCTAGTCCCCTATCCCGATTTCCGCTTACGTTCCGCTTACGGTTTTCGTTTTTAGCCCGAACGAATATTTTGTCTTTGTCTAAAATGTCTGTGCATCAAAAATTTGTTTTCGTGTCGCATATAAAAAGAAGACGGAATAGTGAGTACGTATACATAAAACGTCATAATAATGTACAATCGATTTCCGATATGACAACCGTCACACATTTGATTTATCGTCTCTTGTGTAATAATAATAATATATTCGAAAAACGATCACTTTGGGGTTTTCAGGCGACAATACGCAAATCGAAGTTTACCCTCGATTGTTTGTTATACGTAGGTATAGGGTTTCGCGACTGCGGTTGTTAACAATGAATCTGGGTACACAATAATACGTTTCATTTTTTAGCGTGATGTATTGTACGGATTTTTCTCGAACGTTTGTGTAATTTTGAAATCAATTTAACGAAAGAAAAAACATGTTTTTTAAACAATTGAAAACGTCGTAAGCTCTTTTGGGAGTTACGAGGGACGTTCGAAACCGAATAAACGCGAGACAATCGTTAGCTGATCGAACGTAGGTTATTAATAACATCATAACACTATATGTTATAACCAACAGCCAATGCGGAAATCGTGCGCTGCGCAGTATATAAGCGTATAGCTTCCTTATAAAACGTTAAACTCATAAAAAACGTACCTATATTTACACGAATCTAGTTCCAGCTAAAGATTGTTACGATATAACAGTCGGTTAGTGCGGGACGAAGCAGTTGGCCATACGGCGAACGGCCGTATGAAAAGCGGAGGGAGTCGGCGAATTCGGGAGTCGAAATTTCGCACCCCGGTCGCGGTTCATTTCGAAAATCCGGTTACGGCGCGACCCGGTAGCGCGTCGCCGGGCTCGCCGCTGGATGGCGGCCGAGTCAGCCGCGGCATTGTTATTATAATCGCTATCTGGTACGCGGCGCGGCGTGTCAGGCGGGTGAACGGCGGCGTGGCGGCGGCGGCGGCGGCGGGGACGCTACGAAATCGACGTCAGCACCGCACACACGCAGCCTCGCGTCGAATAATCGATTTTCCCTGCCCGCCGAAAACCTCCCCACCCGTTCCCCTACATCCCCCTCACCCCCACCGGGCAAGCGCGTTACGCAAGGGATGTTGCGGACTCGGCCGATTAACGGACCGGCGACGGCGTTTATGCACACACGCCCGCTACGGCCACTACGACCACTGCGGCGGCGGCGGCGGCGGTGGCGGCGGCGGTGGTGCTAAATCTCGCGGTAATAATCACAAATTATTGTTATTGTAATAATTATTATCAGACCGTTAACACGCCGAAATCTATAACAGCACGCCATCCGTCATCGCCATCGCAAAAAACCCTCGACAAACATCACCCGCGGACGAGGCGTACACACCACGGTAAGTCGCATTGTTTTACGCGCGTTAGCTTTTGACGCCGATTTCGTTATTCGCGTGTCTGGGCCGTGTACCGACCGATATCGGCAGGTATCGTCGGTATCATTACGATGGCGCGCGTTTCTCGTCAATCGGCTCCTCGTCCGGTTAGGTTAGGCTAGGATCGATTAATATTGTCGATTGACCAACGTGGCCGGTCGGATCCGTAGTCGGGCGTTTCGGAAAATGTTCGATGAACGCAATAGTCGTGATAATATAATAATTATAAGATGTATTATATTGTCCGTATCGAAATACCTTTTTTACAGGAATACACGATGCGTTACGGCGTTACCAATTGCATAGGTACCTTTATATATATATATATATATATAAGTACCTGTATTTAGGTATCAGGGTGGCGTGCGCAGGATGTTCTATAGGACGGGACGCAGTCGCAGTTAATGGTTACGAAAAAACCGTATAATCTTCTTGCGTTATTGACCTGACAATGAGCGTTTAAATGCCGGATCGAAAAAAAGTGAATTTTTATTCAATAAATCGAGCTGTTTTCCTCGTTACTATTGGCTAAAACATACATTTTTTCTAGAAAAACCGACTAAATAAACCCACAATCTCTCCCCCGCCGTTGAGCAAAACGGACGGATCGATTTTCGCGGAATCGCGCGCGTACACGTGCTCTTCATCAGTATTGTCGTCCGGTACAATATGGTTGAGAGAGAGGGAGCGCGGTAGGATGACGTAAACAAAGGCTTGCACTCGGTATTCAACCCGGAATCTAAGGCTGATAATTATCGACCGGTCGGTTATCTTTCAAACTCCGTTCACAATTTCAAAGTTTACGCTGGCAAGACCGTGATAATTCTCACTGCTGGCTTTCGGAGTTTTTTTCTAACCGTTTGCGGGGAAAACTCGCTTGTTTTAGAGTTTTCACCACGATCAAATACGTGTAAACGTTTCCCAGTTTTTGTAGAGAAAATTGCGCCAGAATTCGACGGTGTAGCACTCTAGTCGGTCGCGAAGGAGTCGATTACGATGAGACGTTCGTCAGTTACATCTCTTCTCTTCGCCCGCCCCCACTATATGAGTCGGATACGTTTTCCGTTCCTCGTGCAACAACTTTTCTGATAGGTAACTGAAATAATAATCGTATACTAGTTATCAGTTGGCCGATCACCAGTAAATATTGAATCGAAAATAACGCCTTTTAAATTGAAAGTAGTAATTTTCAACCGCTGAAATTACCCTCAATTGCAAAAGAACCTCGCCAATTTCAAACTTGGATTTCGTACCGTGATATTTTTTTTCTCGTTTTATACAAATCAATATAACACCTCCCTTTTCTTCACTAAAAAAACTTCTACCGAAACGATGAAAGTTGTTATAATGTGAGAAAGAAAAAACCTAGTCTGGAATATACGTTTTACATAGGTACCATCCTATAGTGGATCGCGAAAAGAGTGTATTACACTACTGAAAAATACGAAAGTAGACGACAAAAATGAATAGAAGGGGGGTGAATAAGCTACAAACCGATCTGACAATCGATAGCAAGTGAAAGAGATAAGTAATGTTCATAAAAGTTTATACTTTAATCGATTAAACGCTTATATTATACAATTATGTATGTATAGTAATGCAATTTTAAATTTTGCTATAGCTATAGCTAATTTTTATAGCCCCGACTTTTGATATAATAATTATTTGTGTTTGTATTTCCTTCGACGTCCAATTGTTTTCGTTCATGTGTTGTTCTTGTTCATCGTCAGTTTTGTCACCAGTTAACCATAGGTAAAAATAGGGGAGAAATACCCTCCAAAGGTTAAGAATATAATTTTTTTCATTCGATAGATTTCCGTCTTTTGTAGCTTTACGAACCACGGCTCGAAAACCTTTTTTTTTCCCTCTTTTGTAATCATTGTGAAAGCACCGAAAAAAAAAACCAGCTTCCCCTACGTTAAAAACTTTAATATTTGTCCCTATTGGATTTCAGATGGGGTAGCTCATGTTCACGTATACAAAAAGTACAATAGTGGGTATTTCATTGAACGCTATTTCGTAAATGTATATATAAATAATTTTAATCCGAGAGAAAACTTAAAACTTCAATCTTTTAAAATATAGATATGTTTTCGTTAACGTTTTCGTAGTTTGAATTTAAATAATAATTTCTTTAACTAATCCTCAATCGAGTCCGTATAAGATCCGTATAATAAAAAAAAAAATACAATAATAACACACCTGTTAAAGTGTAAATTTTAAAGAAATTTCAAGTTTTTCAACGACCATCTTTAACAAAATTATAAACAATCTATTTAAGTATAACGAAATGGGTTAAATTGGAAAAGCAAAATAACGAATATTTTTACTTTGCACTTTATAAAATCACGATTTTTGTAAAAATTATTTATAATGAATTAATCAGTTTAAATAATATTGTTTTAAATGGTTTGTGATTTGTTTCAGTCATTACGATTTCATCGGTAAACGAACAAAATGAAGCGACAGAATGTGCGTACATTGTCTTTGGTCGTTTGTACGTTCACGTATTTACTGGTTGGAGCTGCGGTGTTCGACGCTCTGGAATCCGAAACCGAAAGGAAAAGATGGAATCATCTATTAGGTAATAATAATTATTCAAAGGTCCATATAAAAAAATAAAATTACAGGTAAGTCTTTATATATTGAATTACATATTATAGAATACACTTAGGTATCTTTTTTTTATTTTAGAGAGAAAAAAAACACAGCAAATTGATTGCGTATTAAAAAAAGAAGAAATTCACAATTTTCCTTATTATAAGTATGATTAATTGAATATTGTGTTAGAATGTGTTATTGCCCTGTGTGGATCTGAAACGTGGTCTTTGAGAAAATCCAAAGAACAATAAACGGGGATGAAGCTTGAGAAAAGGTGATCGGGAAAATTGATGGGACATGAATGGAGGTGAATGGAGGAAATTATACAACAAGGAACTTAAAAACCTATTTTAACTGCCAGATATAGTATAAAAGAAATTAACAAACAGTTTTTTTTAGCCATGCTTTTCTTAAAAATTAAAAAAATAACTTTTTAGAAAAAAAAGAAAATAAACATCAGTGTAAAGCGAATATATTTCTTTCAGAATCTAAATTACATTGGTTTTTGGTTATTTATACTGGAAAGGAATACATATTGTGAATTTTTTTTTTTCGACGCGTGATCGTGTTGTGTTTTTAACCGCAAATATATTTTTAATTCATGGTAAATTTTTAGAACTTAAAGCGGCGTTGGTGAGAAAATACGACATATCTGAAGCCGATTACCGGATGATGGAGGTAGCCATTATCGAGAACAAACCGCACAAAGCGGGACCACAGTGGAAGTTCGCCGGGGCGTTCTATTTTTCTACAGTCGTTTTAGCTATGATCGGTAAACGAATAAAACTCGTATTATTATGAAACAGACCGGATTTTTGTGCAGCAAACAAACACAGAAAACGTACGATTGAAAAGTCGAAACGTGCAAAATCGTGGTGCAAAATTAATATGTATATATATATATATATATATATATATATGTATATTATTAGTGCTGGTAAATTCTTCTAATCCAAAGGCAACAGCGGAAGTTTTTTTAATTTTAATGATAAATCAAATTATGGAAACCCGTGTGTTATTAGAAATCGGATGTACTAGTGACAATATTTTTTTCAGTGTATACTAATGAGTTTTTATGGTGGGTAAGGGGGGAGAGGAGTTGTTAAAATTAATTACAATTTAAAAAATTTAAAAAAAAAAAAAAAAAATGTATGTACTTTTCATCATGAGTGTGCTACTGTTGTAGATAGGAAGTTTGAAGGGTGTAAGAAAATGTATGAAACCATTTAAAATTTATACTTGTATGCAACGAAAAATTATTGTTAAACAAAAAACTAATTGAAGTTTGGTAAAACATATTTTGATAATTTTCGTGTAAATTATAATAATTGATAAGTAACTATGCCCATAAAATAAATCACAATTAACCGTGTTTTCGTAATTTATGGAACCAAACAAGTTTTATTCGCATAAATTCGAAAAATAGTACGTGAAATGTCATGATTTTTATGATATACATTCAAATTTGAACTCTGAACGCAATATTAACAGCTTACAAAAAATCTTGTATCATATTTTTATGCGTTTTCGAAATCGAAAATAATAGAAACCGTTTTTACGTAAACCCTCTCGTTTTTCCTCAATTATCAAGAAAAATATAATGTTCCCCCAACACATTAACAAAAATAATTTGATACCAACAATTGTCTTTGAAATTGATAATCGGAGCAAAATTCCTGGTAGTAAAGTTGCTTACAGACACAATAAATCCGCGAAAAAGTAAATTTCTCGCCTTAAGCGATTAGATACTTATGTTTAAACGTTTATGTATTATAACAAATTAGTAATATATTTTATATTTTTCGAATTTTAAAAAATAACCGATTTCGGATAGCATCTTCTGTCCCCGGATAGTTTCGCTCATGAGTGTATAGGTACCTCACGATTTATAGTTATAATTGTTTAAATTATTTAGTATTGATGTTTAATTTATTCGTATATTTTACGTGTGTGGTAAACGTGAACTATTCAAATTCTAAAAAATTCTAATTAATTTCTCTCTCTTAATAATTATGTTAACTATCTAACTTACGTTATTTAAATATTAAACAAATATATTAACGTTTTAACACAGAGTTATAGAGATGTAGAGTTATGACTTTGTGAGTATTTAATATTTCACTCGAAATTTCACACTGTTTAAAATATTTCAGTGAAATACTGAAAAATATTTTTTTTTTTTCGAATAAATATTTGTTTATTTTAGTATTACAATTTTATAAAAATTGTAATACTGACTAAAATTATCTTTATAATATTGGATTCACATTAAATTTTGAATATAATATCGTTTATTCGAATTGGCCTTGAGTAGTAATAAATAAATAGCTATATTGTCCAAAATGAATACTGATTAAACTTTTGGTAAAGACTATTGTTAACCGTATTGTTTTCAATTTATCTTTAGAAATTTTTAAAAAACTACGAGCAGGACCATTTAGTGTTTAAATTAGATGTCTACTATTAGAGTTTTATGTTTTAATTTGAAATTCTATGCATTTTTTATCAAATAAAATATTTCATGTAAAATTCATGAATACATTTCAAAACTGTAAGTTTCATGAAACTGTAGAACCCTAATTAATCGTTAAAAAGTAGAAATGTCTTAATTTTAAAATTTGTCAAGAAATACAAAATAATGACTTGTATTAATAGCGGGAAAAATACGGATTTTGGATTTTTTTAATAATTTTTTCTTCTACTTAGCTTATCGGCCTATTAAGTGCCATCGTTGCCATCACAAAACCTTTTTATTTCTCTCCATTATATGCATCGTTAAAAGTTGACTCTTCTACGTTTTGATATATTAAGCTATAACGTTCACCCATCGAGCCTTGGGTTTTCGTAAAGGACGTTACTGTTGACGTTACGGTTTTTATTTATTTTGTTAACTAGCACTTTTTTTATTACGTGTCCATCAGCCCTCCAAACATGACCAAACTATTATAGTCTTTTGCTTTTTATACATGATATAATATTTGGCCAGCTGTTATAATTCCTGTAGTTCTTGATTTTTCTTCTTTCGGAAGTTTGTAATTCTACGTTGAATTTTGGACCGTATATATTTCTCAGTACCTTTCTTTCGAAGGTCATTAGCCGTTTGCTGTTTACTTTGGTCAGCGACCATGTTTCGCTAGCGTATGTGATTATTGGTCGTAGATAACTATGATACAGTAGTGTCATTGAGTTACGTGACAGTAGTTTTCATTTAAGAAGTCTCATTATGCTATAGTAACATCGATTGCAACATGCTATTCGATCGTAGGTTTCTTCAGGCATATCGTCGTTAACGCCTAGGTATTTAAATACTTCTACTTTCTTGAAACTATAGTCGTCGAACGTTATATAGTCTATGGATTGGGCTTCTTCCTGCTACCATTAAGTATTTTGTTTTTTCCCCACTTACACTTAGCCCTATAGATTTAATCATTTTTTATATAATTCAGAAACTAATATACGGATAAACGAAAAGTGATCGCTAGTAAATAATATAAAACCTTTTTTTTTATGTGAAAATCATTTAATACACATTTTTAAATGTAGAAAATACAAAAATTTATGTACTATAGATTTGAAAAAATCAAAAAATCGAAATTCTGAAATCGGCCCTTTTTGATTTTGAAATCTGAAATCTGGATTTTGTTGTTTAAAACTAAAATCCAGTTTTTCGGATTTTCGGATAGTTTGGATTTATGTCACAAGTAAAAAAAAAAAATTTCTACATAAATTCAAAACCTATGTATTACAAACGTATAATTTTGTGCATCGTAAAACTTTGTTGAAATATGCATATGTTTCACATTATTGTTTCGGTCGTAGAATTTATATTCACTAGACAAAAATATAATGTAAAGAAATGCGAATGCACGAGAATCCGGTCCTTACTGCAGCTGATGATATTACTTACAGTAAAATACTGAAAACTAATGTCGTGTAACCGTAACATAAATTATATTGCACTTATTCAAAACTCAACACGAAAACATTATAATATTATATATTTTTTTATTTACAGGTTATGGACACTCGACTCCGGTAACGATTGGCGGCAAAGCTTTTTGCATGGCGTACGCGATGGTGGGCATTCCATTAGGACTTATTATGTTCCAGAGTATCGGCGAACGTTTAAATAAATTCGCATCGGTAGTGATTAGGAGGTGATGATAAATAATTTTAAAAATGATTTTCTTATTTCATTTATATAATTTATTTTTTTTTTTTGTAAAAAAAAATAATGTTAAATACGAAAATATTCGATAAAATTTAACTTAGGAGATCGATAAAATAGCTAGATAGTTCAGACAAAAAAAAATTAAAAATCTACATGCAGACAAAATTACAAAAACATTATATAATTACCAATATTAAAAAATATAAAGAAAAAACCCAAAGAAAAAATAAAAAGTATGATATTGCTGCAGTTGTCGAATATTGATCATAATTCAAATTATTTTTTTTTCAATTAGAAACTAGTGTAAAACGGAAGTCGATTTGTCAAAAATCTCGTGGCATTCAAAGCGTTTTTGATACACCCCGTAAATTATTATAATTCGAAATACAATCTGTGATGGAAGATCTGATAATCCGTGAAGTTCTTTCCACTCGGCTCTTCGCAATTTGAAGTATTTTCGCTGTATTGAATGGCCATAATCCCATGTCGAATTGTCGTGTAAGGGGTTTGAAACACCCCTATTTTTCATAGTATGTTTTAGACCGATCATTATTGGCAAATTAGACACACTACTCAATGGTGAGAATTTTTTTAAGTCAATTTTAAATTTATAGTTTTCAAGACCTCTGAATGAGGATATTATTTTCGAAAATTTCATGAAATAACCGCATTAAATTTGTATTTATTTGGATCCATCAAATTTTTAAAACAAAAAATTGACTTCATAAATAATTTGTCAATACACATCTACTTTAAAAATTTAAATAAATGGAAAGTATATCTAATTTTTCACAACAAAATTGATTTTAAGCATAATATTTGTTCATACGAAATGGCTTATTATAAGATGTTTATTGAAAGGTAAAAGAAAAGAAAGGTTTAAATTTTACAAGATTGAATAAAATTTGGATAACCGTTTCAAACCCTCTTAAGAAGACCCACATATCTACATTTTTACTGCCTTAGTCTAACTAACCACGGGCATTAAAGCAAAATCACCGTACTTAGAACATAAACTGTAGCGTTGGACGGGTTGAAATTAGGATTTATACACAGATTAAAAAATGTAACGAGGAGAATATTTTTTAAGGAAATATAAGGGCGTTGCTTTTAATTTATGAAAATCATCAAATAAAATTTACGGATTCTAGTTTTTGATTTTTTTTTAATAATAGCTGCGACATTTTGTTGTTTATCAATATTTTAAATAGGAAACCACGCATATTACCTCCGACTTAATATTCTCCTCTTTAAAATTTATCATTTGTGTTTAACCTCTGATTCAAATATAATAGCTATAATTTGTATATGTTCTACACAATTTTTCCGTGCTGCCTGTTAGTTAGACCGAGACAGTAAATGCGAATATATGAAAGTCTCTTAAAACAACTAAATAAAGTATAATCGAATTTTATCGTTAAGAAAATGTTATACTCAAGTGTTTCGGCTTCATCTAATAAACGTTTGCTATAGCTAACTCGAGTTCAGGAGAGAGATAACTTTGTGCTGTCAGTTTTGATATTAGAGTGAGCTAATCTATTATTATTCAACTTAAGGATAAGAAAATTATCTGTACATTACCTTAGCGCTATTTTTTTTATCGATATTTTCATTTTTAAGGGTTTATAAAATGTATGTTTTAATCAGATTTCTGTTTTTCAAAAACAATTTATTTAGGTTTTGGTTAAATTTCTAAATCTTAATAAAATAAAACTTAAAAAAGTATACATTTTTAACTTGAAAATAGCAATCCTTCTTTTAGACACAGATTCGCACTACGGAGAATATTTTTCTAATAATGTTGTTATTATAATTTATAATAATTATAACATTTATTGTTATCTGTTATGCCTATTGCACGCGTAACACTAATATCGAGTTTATTTATTAATGATTATTGACCCGAGAGTAGATTGTATTTCGATTATGTTCTCTAAGATGTGTACCGTCTTAACAGTTTTAATGCGTGTTTTATTTCGTATGATATAACGATTTTATATATTCACTATATTCTTAGGGATATTTATTATTCATCGAGTTTCCCAATATTGCGCTGACAGTATGGTTTATGTATATTTTATAATTGGCTTTATAATTTGATTAACACTGAGATTAATTAAATGGATTCATACCGAGAGACAAACTACATTCATTAAATTAATACTGAACAAAATACTTGTATGTTGTTGTAATAAAACATTGTACAATCGATCGCAGTACATAGTATACAGTGTACATATTATATAAAACATAAATCATTCCATTTAAATATTAAATATTGCACCTAAATTTGTATTATTTTATCATCAATTGATTTTTTTATTTTTTATTTTTTTTTTGTTACAAATGCAACAACATTCCAGTTCTAATAGCCAATAGGTTTATTTCAACAATTAGAAAACCACTGAGTAATATTTACAGTATTTTCACACTTCGTGACCATTACATATTACCATAACATTATTTTGATTAGTGGTGACTTTGGTTCGTATTGTAGTGAGGGGGACAAATTTCATAGTTCACTTTGGTAATTTTTATTTTAAAAGCGTAATCGTTGATATTTCCTATATTTATATCTTGCTTAAAAATATAAATATCAAAGAAAACCGATATACAGATACAGCTAATGTTTTCTTACCTTTGATTTTGATAAAAAGCCAATTAGTTCTAATATTAAAATCAGGGTTGGGTTAATATACGTGTACAAAAAGGTTTAAAACGTATAAAACTGTACAACGATTAAAACATTTAAATACATTTTCGACATTTGAAATTTAATATTTTTCAATATTTACTATATTTATTTTAACTAATATCCATCAATTAAATTTACAACTTTTTTTTTATGTAATCCGAGTATGTATCTAAATGTTTTGGTATTTTCAGTTTTGTATTAATATTAAAATGTTTAATGTTTTCATAAATATTAAAGTTCTACCAGAAAATATAAAAATAAAAACATTTCATTGTAAAAATAATACCGTCCCAACTAAACATCAAAGCTAAAACATAAATGAATTAATACAAATCACGTTTATCTTGGAGATTTTATTTAAATTTAAAATGAAAGTACTTTTTTTACTAGTTCAAAATTTTAAATACTAATAAATATAAACTTTACTATTTAATAACGGTTAAAATGAAAGTAATTAATGAAGATAAACTTATTAAACTGTGTAAAATAATTTTGTAAACTTATTAACAATTTATATAACAAATTATACCCAATAGCTGCTGTTCAGTGCAATCATAGAAAAAAAAAATAATAATAATAATAATAAATCTTTTATATAGTATAGCATGTTTATATGATATAGTATAATAGTATAATAATCAAATATTACCGTGTTATACGTTCAAATTCTGATTAAAACTAACAAAAGAAAATTGTTCCTGTTGGGTGCAAACTTGCTACTTACACGGGCGTCCGGTTGGGGGTTAGTAAGACGGAGCATCTGTCTCTCCCCAGATTTAAAAATGTTAAGTATAATTTTAATAATTAATTAATAGGTATAATTTTAAGTATTTTTTGATGTTTGATTTTATTATACCCCACCCTGATGAATTTCCTGTGGGTGCCCATAGCTGTGTATATGTGTTTGTAAACCCATGTGGGTATATAGAAACATTTATTGTAGTAACTGATAAAATTAAATTATATTGAATAGGTATATTATTGTATTTTACAAATAAAATAATAGTAAAACAAAATCTAAACTTCTTTTTTTCATGCTGGAAAATCTGTTAACCGTGTTCTCTTTGGTAGTTTCGAATTCTTATTTTCTTGACCATAATAATTATACTTGTAGCGAGCCGTAAAAAAGCTGCATTAGGCAGTGGTAAATATTAACTAGTGCATAGATCAATAAATACGGTATTTCAGCGACGTCATGTGTCTTTTGTCGTATTCCAATTGGCCGTTATAATCTTGATAACATTCAGTGACCGTCCGGGCCTACCGGAAAATGTCCAGAGTTGAGCTGAACTCATTTTTTCTAACATTTCTCGTTTTTTTTTTTTTTTAAACATGATATTTTGTGTTATATTCCGCTGAAATATTGTCTTAATATAGTTTACAGATTGTTGGAATTATAACTGGAGAAAAAATAATTATTTTTAATTGATGGGCATATAGTATTCGGAGTAATCGAGTTTGTCAACAACGTGTATAAGAGTAAAAATATCTAGGGGACACTCCTCTCACTCCCTCACTATAAACAGCGCCACTGATTATAATATTGTTATGTTTCAACGAATATTGTTCGTGGTGAACATCGAAAAATAACTCATGATTTCTTTTAAACAATTTGAACTATTACGGTACTTTCGAGAGGGTTTTTCGTTGAGAAGGCAAGGGAAATTTCGTTGATCATAGTTATTTTCGATAAAAAATAAAGAAAAAAAAGTACACAAAGTAAAACGGGCAAATGTCAATTTTATTATAAACTCGGCCCGGCAATAACTGCGGTGATGAAAATATCGATTGTAAACTCGGCCCGATAAAATATATTAAAGTCACATAAACGATCTGTTTTTAATAGCTCCATATATTTTTATTATATTTTTATTAACGAACGCATCAAGACAGTTGTGATTATATTGATAAATACAAATACAGAAAAAATGTATACAAAATATTGATAGCAGTATAAGTTAAAACCATATTGTGTGTTGGTGATGTGCGGGTTAAATGATCGCCGAACTCTCAAAAATATGTTGTTGTGAATTTTCACGCGCGATCCAACGGCGTATTAAAATGAGGAGGGGGGGGGGAGATTTGAGGGATATATTTCCTTTCTTGACTTTTTTTGTTTTAGTATTATTGGTGTGATTAACTTGTTTTTTTAATTTCTAATTTCTTTACTTTTTAGTCGGAAATACCAAAAATGTGTTGATATTATAGTTAGTATAATGTCACTAGCACGTAACTTCATTTGTTTAAAACGAAACCTATCCAAGCGCTATAATATGAATAAGGAGGTTAGCTGATCGATATACCTGATATTTTAATAAAGTTATAATAATTACTAGGGATGGATCAAATGCTGATTTTCTTGAACTCATACAATATAATATAAGTTATAATACAATTAAAAAGAGACAATTGTTTATTAATTCATTTATGAACAGTTTTATTAAATTAATATACGCGTATACAGTTTTCATTTAATTATTCGTATTTGTCATTACTAATTAGGTATTCATTTTGCTATTTCATGATTTTATGTGATTTTCATGATTTATATTTAATATTATATTATATAATGCCTCTTTAAAGGAGTTGTAGCAATATGTGAATTACTCTCACTCTCTCGAGAAAATTTCCTTACGCAATGTTTATGCAATTATTTTTACACGGATCTATAATAAAATCATACCAAAAGGATATTTTAATAAACTATTATAACATACATTTTAAATTAAAATTAAAACAAATTATCTCAATCTGGAATAACTCGGAATGGAAAAATCATTATTGACATTTTGTTCTTATAAATTAAAATATAATTACGAAAAAAAAAAAAAACCCATGAACTCGTATAATTTAAATTGTATTGAGCTCACACTTACAGCAAAACCAATTTTAAACCTAGAGGTTTTGGCGATATATGTGTTAACAACAATAATTCCGATAAAATAAAAACAAAATAAAACTATATGAATTATAAAAAAAAAATGCTATAGGTTCAAGCTATAAATTTCATAAACTTTGAAATTTAACCAAAATTCAAATTTTGGGGATTCGTGAGTAGTTCGAGGATCCATCCCTAATAATTATTGATACTTGTACCTAGTGATTTGATATCAATGATAATTCGGGAGCCGATTGAATTATATAAATTACTTGTAAATTTACCTATACAAAAATGTATAATTCGTGGTTCTTTTTTTTTTGAGCGATAAGCGAGTCGCGGAAACGAAAACCCTATATGCACGTATAATATTCACCTATCCTATCTAGAATTTTCGTATAAGTATTTACACGTCGGTAAATTTTAATATCGGTGAAAACGGGCCGAATTTACAAACGCATACGGTACAAAACAAAATTGGCCATTTCTTAATTTCTTAATTTTTTTTTCTATCCGTTCGACATATTGCCGGGCTGAGATGTAGAAATAGTTTCAATGCGAAATCGCCGTGTAAAAACCGTTTTGATATTCATCAGGGCCAAACAGTATATGAAATGTAAAAAGGAAGAAGCCACCGAAATGAACTTAATGTTCGCTACCGGACTCCTGTCGTCGGTCATCATAACCACCGGTGCGGCCGTGTTTTCCAAATACGAAGGATGGAGCTATTTCGACAGTTTTTATTATTGTTTCGTTACGCTCACCACCATCGGTTTCGGAGATTACGTCGCACTACAGGTAATACTTGTCACCAACTTAGTAGATAATAATATTAAGTATTCGGTATTGGTCTTCTACGCCACCTACCACCTGACGATTACGTATCTCTCGCCGGACATACTGGCGTCTTTATACGAACTCGCGCAAATCTGAACGTTATCCGTCTCTCCGTGCACTGCGTGGTTAGGCATTATACGCATAAAAATACGTTATGACGGCCCGAAATCGTTATTATTACTATTAGCTACCTATATTTTAAAGGGTATTTGGCCAGTTTTTTTCCCCCGGTATTTATCGACGCGTACAAATATACATATATTACATATACCCGCGAATATACATGTCGAAATGATACCATATTGGTTTTTATACATATTTGATTGACTTTTTTTTTTTTTTATTTATTTGTGTTTTTACTCGCTTAAACAATATAATTTCAAAACCTTTAATCGCCTCGAAATCGCACACCCATAACACGCGGGAGATCTACGAACAATTGAGCGCGATGACAATAAATTATTGAGCTCAGCGAGAAATATCGAGCATCGCGTATTATTTATTAAAAAAATACACATCAGTATTGTTTTATTCGGTATAGGCTATAATATCGGTAAAATATAATGATTGTATAAATTAAAAAAAAAAAAACTGCATATTAAATTTTGAATTTTCGATTAGGTCGTTTATAATTAATTAATTTAAAACGAGTTAAAGACGATATCGATAAAAAAAAAATAATAATAATAATAGTAACTATAATACGAGTACAATGTTACACAGTTATAATACGTGCCTTGTTCAAATAAGAATACATTTTTAAATTTCATTGTTTGCGAAACAAATCGATTTGTTTTAGGGACGGCCAAATAATATTGATATTTTTCGTTATGTTATTTCTATTGATAATATCGACATATCGACGATATTTGTAGCTATAATATCACATGTTCAATATTTTACATTGATGTTTTATAATATTTGACCCAGTGGTTCTCAACCGGAGCGATATGGGCCCATATAGAAGTCACACGAAACCCTAAAGGTTTTAAAATTGTTTCGAATAAAATCGTATTATTGGACTCACGGCCGGGTAATCACCTCCACCGTCGGAACAAAATCGGTAACATCGGCCAACGAAATAAAGTTGTAATATTGTTTAAAATCTAGAATTTCAATGCATTACGCGTATTTTGTTTGTAGAACGACGCAGCGTCGGATTATCGTGATTGAGGGTTACACAATGAATAAAAAAAAGTGGAAAACCATGAACCGGAAAAAAAAAAAAAACACAAACTCGTTAAAAAGTAAAACGCTTAAAACGGTAGGCAGTACGTTTGTGATTGATATGGGTATAATAGACGTTTGAATTTAAAATTTCATTACAGTTTCTTGTGTTCCGCAATTTCAATACCTACACAATTTATCGATAAATCCGTGTGTCTAATAAAAAATGCGGATATATCGACATATCTAATTTTCCGAATTGAAATATCAACGTTATTTTTCAAAATGGGCAATTTTAATTCGTTCATTATTCGTTTAAACATCGTACTCGTACAATAATAGTCATACATATTATAATATAATCTTAAAATCGCGAATATCCGTAATAATAATATTACGTTTTAGTTTTCAAATATTCGCATTTCTGCGTTTATATTTTGGTGAAAGCGTATTCCAATATTAACTGATTAACTGATTCGTTGAATACGGGTCAAAAGGCGTGAAGTTTCATCGATGGGCGGCCTCTTCGATTAGGATTACTGCATTATGTTTATTATAAATTAACTTTTTGTACTTTTTGTATAATCTGTTATATTTGCACCACGTTTGTAGTTATTATAAAAAAAAAAAAAAACTCTATACATTTACTCTAATAATATAATATATAAAATAAAATAAACAATTACCGTTGATTTTTAGCTGTCCTACGCTCAATATTATATTGTCTGCGCTCAATTGTCGTGGCGTTCAGCAGCCGGGACACCCATAAATCGATCGAGCGCTTTATGTTTTAAATTCAAATTCCGAAATTCGGTCCTGACGTCTTTTTAAATATTTTTTCAATTTTATAGAAAACAAAAATCGAATTCGGAAAATGTTGAACAATAAACCTGGGAGAATTTTTCCCGGAAATCACATAAAAGTAGGTAGTTAAATTGCAACGACATTTTACAATGTTCAATGTGCATTTTGTACTCTCTAACGTTTGCTGTACCCATGCCACTTAAGTATCGTGTGAAACCGATGGCGTGCGCAGGAATTTTTAACGAGATGTAGTATAAATGATAATCATGATTCATGAATTGTGACTTGGCTAAAATATATAATTTCAAGATAAAACTACTAAATGAACACTCTTAGGTGTTGTATTTGTAAGTCAATGAGACTGTTTTTACTGTTTTTTTCTTTAATGTGTACAGCATGTACATTTGTTTTATTTTTTTTTATCTCGTGCGCAAAATTATAAACATCTGTTGAAAGCATAGCGCTCGGGTTATCGGTATCAATTTTCGAATTTGTTCATATATGTGCTAGAAAATCACCATCGAAATTTATCAGGTCTCGTTAAAATTTCGGGGGCAATCCTGTTGGCTTTTATAACGAATCCCGTTTCCGTTTCATCATTATAATGAAACACGGACGACTCGATATCTAATCGGATGGTCGGATAACGTACATTTTTTTAATTTTTTCTTTTTTTTGAAATGCGAACAGAAATGATTTTATTGTTGTAATATTGATTTTGTTTAACATAAGTACCTATACCTAGATGTTAATATGATATATACACTACACATAATTTGGCCATTCGAAAATATCTATAATACCTATATGTATATATATATATACATATATATTATATACCTATTGTAATCGTTTTGTTCGTGGACGTGAAAAACCGACGTCCTCGTTATATTTTGTTTGATTTATTATTATTATTATTTCTGAATCGTTACTCAAAAAGTTAAAAGCAGGCATGTTATTAAAAGGGTGCAAAATTATTGCCGTCTCTGTCCACCAGATGGGCAATGTAGCGAAAATGTGTTTCCAATAGTAATAAGTAAGTACTCGGGATTTCATATGTAGATTTAAAACAAAAATTATTTCACCAAAGATGATAACGTTTACTATACACGTGTTCAAATAGGAGTTTTTCGATTTCTATTTTATCAAATAAACTTGACCTATTCATACTTCGAAATTTAAAAAAAACGAAATCACATTTGTATTATTATTATACTTCTGTCTAAATTGAAAATCGTATAATGAACAAATCGAAAACTACCACATTGAAAACATACAGAAATGACGTTTTCGTTTTTAATCAAGTGAAATAATTCGTCTATCTATTATACCTATTGGATGTACAAAAACACGCGTTTGCCATATTGCCTGTTAGGTATATAGGTAGAGACGACAATTATATTACTGTCACACCCTCTTAAGAAAACTGTCCAAACTATACGTAAATTATACAGTGAATAATATAATATTAATGTGTGTTCCTCGATTTTTACGAATTCGGTATACGTTTATTTTGGCGCTTATTGTGTTTAAAAAAAGTGAAGTAAGAATCACTATACATAATAAATTATTGTAAGTATATATTATTATTATTATAATAACATAATATTATATAGTTTAACACTACGTACTTAAATATTTGTATATTTTTTTTATAACTGATCGACGGCGATTTTAATTGAACAATTATTATTATTAATTTATGTATCAAATTTTGTACGGTATTTTTTGACCGACCAATATAATATTGTATAACGACATAGTATTTAATTTAACTGTATATGTATTTGTTTATTTATAAACAAAATTAAATACAATATTATCTTAATATTACCATCGTCTATTATGTACTTATATATTATAACAAATACATTTGTTAGCTTTTCCTAGACTATAAGCTGTGGGGAAAATATGTGTGTATTTGAATGTGTATGTGCGTATGTGTATGTGTGTGTGTGCGTGTGTGTGTATGTATGAGAGAGAGAGAGAGAGTTAGAGAGAGCGAAAAACAATACAAAATAGGTTTGTTTTTCTACGATTCTACCTAGTCAATTGGTGTTCACTGTGTAGACAGAAAGAGGTAAACTGAACAAAAATAACAATACAAATAAATATTATTATTTTATTTTTAATATATACGGACACACGGACAATATGGATATTATTCAAATTATAAATAAACGCAAATTAACAGTACCTAGATCATAGTATGTATACGAAAAAAAATATAAAAACCATACAATAAATCAACAGAAACAATCGTGACATTTGCATATAGAACTATAGCTAAAATGAAAAAAAGTGATCCAGAAATAGGTCTCATGGATCCAGATTAGTGGAACGTGGGACCATTTCTATAAGGAATAAGGTTACTGGAAGAAAAAAGAGGAATGTAAAAGAAAACTATACAGAGTACGAAAAAGAATACACTAAAATCGATATTAACGCACAATGATGCCGATACAGTTAGGTTAGAAAACCATAACAGATGGTCAGAATAGTCGAAAATTTCAAGCTTTAGTGCAAAAATCTAAACAAGGAACTTTCTTTGGACTCAGTCGATCATATTGTATTGTTATTAACGATAGAAGGAGTGAGGTGGAATTCTTGTAGGCCGCAGCGGTTTTTAAACTTTTGATGCACACGGATTTTTGACGGAAAGACTTTTAGAAATCGTGGACTCCTTACCAATACCTTTTTTTTTTCAACAAAATATTTCGTTTTATCATAATTAATATTTACCGATAGAGCCGTCGTACCCCCCCCCCGACATGAATATCACAATTTAAGAACCGCTAATGTAGAGGATGAGATCATATTATATAGGGTGATATGTGAGATAATGTGAGAATTACACTATATTTGTTAATGATATACGATTTTATGACTTAAACATATTCATAAACATAAAAAAAAAAAACAAAAAAAAAACAAACAAAAATAAGTTACAGAAAATAAAAGGAAAACAATAATGAAGGTTAAATATCAATTTTCTATTCTACCAAGGGCTCGAGTTTTGTACATCACTCGATGTAAGACTCAAGATTACCTAGTGTTTAAAAATAGTTAAAATTCAACTTGGTAAATAAACTATAAATAAAATAACGATTATAATAATATAAACTCATAACGATTATATAAACTCAATTTAGAGAATTTTCACTCCGTATATATTAATGCTAAAATTAATTATTAAAAACTAATTGAAGGAGGTAACGGAAAATAACGCCCGGCGTCCTTCATAGTATTTATTATATTATATAAACGCAATACTTGTGCGGTAAACTACACGTCGACTAATGTATTCTTCTGTATAGAATCTTCTGTTTTACAAATCCACATCATTATTGTTTTCTCTCAACGAGAGTCTGGTCAAATGGCTAGAAAAAAAAAAAAAAATCATTTAAACAATGAGCTGTAAGTAAAACATATTAAATACATAGTCGATTACAGTATGAGTGGCTTGGACTAGTAATTTTAAAATTTTCGCCAAAAACAGAGAGAATGTTTTACTGTATTATGTCATCTGTTATGCACATTTAATTTATTCGCTACTTTTGGACACTTTTAGCGACTCTCTCTGGAAAAAATTAGGTTAAACTCGGGAATTAGAATTGTTTTTTTGGCGGATTGAAGTGATACAGTTTTGCTTGAATTTAAATTTGAATTTCACGTTATTGTTATGAGGGAAGGTTGTTTTTTAGCTTTGTACACCGTTACATAAACAATTCGAAATAAGCCAGGAGATGGATACGCATGCCATAATTACCAAGAATGTGCGATTTGCCTTTTATTGATATTTCTATAACGGTTCGATAGACTAGTTCGATTTTTACACAAAATATATATTCAAGGTCGATAAATACAAACTCGGTAATAACTCAATTTTGTGAGGAATTACACACGTCCCCTTTCTGCTATTAGTAATTTATATAATATATAGAATAATATAAAACAATATATTTTATAATACTTATGATAGTACTACTAATAATAAATGTTATTAATATAACAAATTTGTGTAAACTGCACTACAATGTTACAAAAAAAAAAAACGATTGTGGAGGGGAGAGGGTCACGTACCTTCAGTGCCCCTTCCCCGTTTACGGTACTTGGGCAGTTGCATATAGTTATTTAGTTTTTAAATCTTTATGCAACGATAAATCAATGATATCGAAAAATAATATTTTGAATAAAATTTGGTTAAACATGTTTTGAAATTCCATTTTTTGACGATAAGGTCACAAATTTGCACCTTAACGTTTATAAAAATAAAATTATTACATGACATTCAATTTTTTTGTTTGACTACCTACCAATGATTAAAGCTATTGATGAATTCGGGATACATTTTTCAAGCATTTCAGCTGTTCGGCTAAAAAAATTTTATCCTCATAAAATGAAATAAAATCTAAAAAAAATCGAAAATGCTAAATTTCAGCGAATAGCTCAAAAATTGTGTTAATCTTCTGTATATATAACTATTTCAATACTAATTATAAAAAAAAAAAAAAACCAGAATAATGAAATCGTTATTATCGTACATTATCCTATATTTCCAACGTTTTTTTTCCCAATTATTAAGAATAACACAAGGGAAATCAAATAATGATGTTCAAAATACATCGAGTAGACCGAATTGCTTTCGGAAAAGATGCTACGCTTGAAATTTAGAGTAAGATTAATAGTAGAAAAGTTGTTTACAGACAGAAAAAAAAAACACACGCATCGTAGTAAAATAAATACGTCCTCAGAATCTAAAATACAAAAGTATTAATGTACCCGAATTGCGTGCGTTTCTTTTCGCAACATTTCCGAAATGCGTCCACAAGCTGTCAACAATGTATCTGAGTTTCGTCCGCAATAATAATATATTTTTATTTTATTTCTATCTGTTAATTGATATATTTGTAAATAATTGGATACTGGGAATAATTCCGGTTCTGTGTCTGAAATGTTTTGATTTGACTCAGTGACACAATGTCTCAGTTAAAAACTAAAACAAATGGAGTTCATTTAGAAATTGACGTACATACAAATTTTACAAACGAAAGTTTCAAATATATAACTATTAATAATTTAAAAAAATGCTAGAATGTTTTGTAGATTTCACCACATCTAAAAAGTGGCAATATAAATATTCGGTGAAAGTTTTAAGTATCAACATTTTTTATTTCGCTAAATTACAACCAAAAAACACGAACTCATAATTAACTGATAATATGCGATGCTTTTTACTATTTTCTTTAACTCAAAACGCTTATAAAAAAAAAAAATGCATGACTATTACAAATTAATATATTTTGTTTTGGTGAAAAATAATTAATGACGAACATTTAGAATATAGTATTTCTGAGCATTTTCGAGAAACCCACAGAATTGTATTGACATATAAACTATAAAGACTCGAACATTTTAAAATGATATATATAACTCAGAAATGAGCAGCATTTTTTGGATTCAAAGTGGAGTGAGGGATTTATTGGTTTCACTGTGATGTGTTTTTTTTTTTGTGAATGAACAACATTTTTACTAGAAATCTTGCGCCAATTGAAAAATAACAAGAGCACTTTTTGTAAAATTTTGGATCTCGTTGGTGAGTATGAAAGTTTTTTTTTTTATTTACAGTAATGTTTTCTATATCATTAAGCTAAACCGAAAAAAAATGTAGAATGAACGGAACATTTTTTTTTTTTTGTAATTCAGTCAAAAAGTTTTCTTTGTAGAGACTTTAAATTTTAATAAAAACTTATATTTGCCTTTTATAGATGTGGTAAAATTTTCAAAATATTTTGTCGAGTTTTGTGATATTTATAAGCATTTTATTTTTGTTAGATTTTACGTAGTTTTCATTTGGTATGTATAATGTGGAATTCATACAGGCACTATATTATATCAACATTGTGGGCATAATTTTTTGACCAAACAGAAATGCTTGAAAAGTTAACAGGAGGTTCATTAAAAATTGTATTTAGTGGTCAAAAAAATAAAAAAAGTACTGTGTTGTAGTAATTACATATAGGAAATGCACATAAATAATTCAAGCTACACGGTTAAATGACAGTTTTTATAAGCGAGAAGGAAAATATTTAATGTTTAAATACTGCCGGGGACGTAATTATCGGACTAACTATGAGAAAACCACGCATGCAATTCGGACAAAATGTGATTTTCTGACGCTATTCGAATATACCGATATAACATTATGATTGAACAATGGTATTCGCGGATGATATACCGTTTATCGGCACAAGTTTAAATTCGAAGCGCGAGAAACGGTTGAAAATCGATAGTCGCTATTATAATGTATTACAATATTATTGTACTTGTCGTAAACGGAATAACGGTGAAGTGTTCAATTTTTCTATATAAAACGATTCTATATTTAGAATTCTGTATTCTGTATTTAAAGACAGGGGAGATCAGTGGCATATAGCTTCCCTTTAAATTTTTATTTATACTAACGTCTATATTCTTAAATTCAAATTTGTTTACGTCAGAAAAATCAAAAATGTGTAGGCACTGAGGTTATATACAAAAATAAATCTGAACGTAAATAGGTAAATTTTTTGTTAAAAACGAGATCTGTCCGAAACGTTTGAATATGATCGAGGGTAAAATTGTAAAATAAACTAAAAATAATTCCTATATTACCTATTTATGTCATGGTATTGATAACTTTAGGGAAGGTTATATTAGAAAATACTCCCAAAAAAAAAAAAAAACAATTAATTAAAACATTAATATTTTTTATTGTTTGTTTGAACCTAGGTAATAATAATATAATAATATAATAATATAATAATATAATAATTGTATACATATTTGACAAATTATTTACTATATTACTATATTACTATATTTACTATATCCACAGTCAAATAATCACTTTTTTTTTTCTTTTTTTTTTTTTTACTATTTGAAATCTGAAAAATCATACGCATGGTTTAAAACAGTTCTTAATAATATTATGTTTACCGAAACCGGAATAAACTGCATTTTATTTAAATTTTCCTTCCACGTAAACAATATAATATCATAGCGGAAAGTGAAAACGAAAAGAAAACTTTTCTCGCGTGTCTAAGCACGAAGTTGTATCCGTGAGGATGTCCACAAACTCGTGTTTTAATAACAATGATGTAATAATAACAATAAGAAAATACTTCCGATGACTATAGCTACATAGTATATCACATTGTGAAACAAACTATTATAATATTATGAATTTATTCATTTTGTTTTTCCGTTTATGCAATACAATTTAAATAACTCCGTTATTTAATTATAATAAAGAGTATATATTTTTTTTTCTGATTCTCGAGGGACTTCGCGAAACAATTTTCTAAAACACGGACTGCGCGGGCCTTTGGGGACAAAAGTTTAGGGACGTTCGCAATCGGAATCCTCTGTCAATCGAGGGACAATGATTTGTTCGCGGTAACACTTGATGTTTAACATTGAAAAAATCGTCATGGGTTTTTATTTACAGTGATTGTCGATTGTCAAAAAAGATTGAATTCATACGGTTTTTAAAAAATCGAAACTCATCGTTATCGTGCAAACACTTTAAATCGGTTTAAAAGCATATAAAACCATTCAAATCGTTTTAAAAATAAAACACGCTCGTGCTATATACAGGCAAATATCAATCGCG